GCCGACGTCGACCAACGTTGCAGTTGCCATTGGTCACTGCTTTTGTGATCTTATCGCACAGCATTTACTTGAAAAACACTGATGCAGGTCATGTGAACTCACTAATAATTCTACAGTCCATTAATTTTCTAATCTAATGGTTAATCGCCGGTTGACTTGTTAACATGAGCACAATTGTTTCCATCCAGTCAACTGATTGTACCGCTTACTGTATTGTTTCGATGAATGCACAGGGACGAACTAATAATTCAGGAATAATTCGTCATGCATGATAACGTCCGACTTGCTTTTTTTGTGCACAAAACGTTCATCTATAATATTATACTGCTCATCCTGTTCACGCTGGTTGGGACTTCTCAGTTCAGAAATGGTGCTGGTAAACGATCTTAAGTTTTCTATCTTCCCCTTTAAACTATTTGACTTACTACGTTAGGATTTGGCGAATTCCGCGTTTTTACCCACGTAGTATTGGTTAAACGCTGAAGTTTATTGATTATAAGGCACTCCTTATTCTGCCACCTACATGATTTGCTCATGAAGTAAAGTTGATATATCGTACATCCCTTCGTACTCGATTCGTATGGGGACTGTTTGACAAAACGAGAAAATTGGGTTGTGTTAGACAGTGGAATTTAGGAGAAAGAGCAAGCTACTTATATGTTGCGTCAATGCTTGCATCCACAGGTTGTGGTAGACAATTAATCGCTGTAAGGAGAATCTTCAGATAAACCAATAAAGAAGTAAACAAAAGAACAGGTGTTCAGATAAACTAGACGAAAAACAACTGCGAGGACTGGGAGGACTAGCCAGAACGATTCCTTCTCTCAAGGAAAAAAATTCATTGTCTTACGCATGACATACTTGGAGAAACTTTCATCCACCAAACTTTAGATAACAACTATTCCCTACATTACTTTATCCACCAGTGATCTCTGGTCAATATTTTCACTAAGATTTTGTCACTGCTTTTGTGATCTTATCGCACAGCATTTACTTGAAAAACACTGATGAAGGTCATGTGAACTCACTAATAATTCTACAGTCCATTAATTTTCTAATCTAATGGTTAATCGCCGGTTGACTTGCTAACATGAGCACAATTGTTTCCATCCAGTCAACTGATTGTACCGCTTACTGTATTGTTTCGATGAATGCACAGGGACTAACTAATAATTCAGGAATAATTCGTCAAGCATGATACCGGCCGACTTGCTTTTCTTTGTGCACAAAACGTTCATCTATAATATTATACTGCTCATCCTGTCCACGCTGGTTCGGACTTCTCAGTTCAGAAATGGTGCTGGTAAACGATCTTAAGTTTTCTATCTTCCCCTCTAAACTATTTGACTTACTACGTTAGGATTTAGCGAATTCCGCGTTTTTACCCACGTAGTATTTCTGTTAAACGCTGAAATCTATTGATTATAAGGCACTCCTTATTCTGCCACCTACATGATTTGCTCATGAAGTAAAGTTGATATATCGTACATCCCTTCGTACTCGATTCGTATGGGGACTGTTTGACAAAACGAGAAAATTGGGTTGTGTTAGACAGTGGAATTTAGGAGAAAGAGCAAGCTACTTATATGTTGCGTCAATGCTTGCATCCAATCCACAGGTTAGACAATTAATCGCTGTAAGGAGAATCTTCAGATAAACCAATAAAGAAGTAAACAAAAGAACAGGTGTTCAGATAAACTAGACGAAAAACAACTGCGAGGACTGGGAGGACTAGCCAGAACGATTCCTTCTCTCAAGGAAAAAAATTCATTGTCTTACGCATGACATACTTGGAGAAACTTTCATCCACCAAACTCCAGATTACAACTATTCCCTACATTACTTTATCAACCAGTGATCTCTGGTCAATATTTTCACTAAGATTTTTTAAGCCCCTAGCGCACTAGAGCAACCGTTCTTTCAGTGTTAAATTTTACACACCCCATACCTCACCATCTGTACCACTACGAGCAAAGAATCAACATCTCACCCGGAATACTCAAGGAGAAACGAATTTCGGATTCACAAACAAAGAAAAAAGGAACGCCTGGAGTCAGATCAGTAAAGGTCACCTCGGAAGGTAATAAACAGAGGTCACTCCAGCATGCACCAGAGTACGAGGGCAGGGGATGCCGAGCTCAGGGGTTACGTGGGGATCGACGAACCAGAACAAAGGATAACAGAGCAACCAATGAAACCGCCCGACCGAATAACTGACCGCGTTCGAAGGTTGACCGCTGCTAGTAGCACGTATATTAACAAACACGCAACACTACTCAACGCACAACCACCAGCTCATCGCTACGCATGACCACGATCCTTAACAACATAGTGATGATGTCACCTCGATTGGTGATGAAGCGTTTGCAATCAAATTGCCCAGCTCAGCTTAGAAACCAACCACCAATTTTTTTTAATTTTTGTGTTAGCGTCTTTCGCAGCTTAAACCTCGGAGTCCTCTGTAATCTAATAATTTTACTGTAAGCGCAGCATTCTCATTTGAATTCGTGTACCTGTTCTCCACATCACGTTTGAAGGTCCAATCACGGATTGCAGTGTTTTTCAACCAAAGCGGATATCAATATTGTCGCGATGAAAAACACAAGCGAACACACCGAGGCCACCACTTGGTGCTCTCGGTTCATCTGAATGGAAGTGACAAAACGTTTAGCGCTTCGTTCAGCTGTAGCACCCTTTCGGTGCCTAGCTGCCATGTCACCCAAAGGAAGCACGAGGTCTGGACTACTGCCAGGTTGCCCAAGCCTAGATAGGGGAAGTCGAATCATTAACCTTTCATGGACCTTTCCCCAGTAACTTCGCGCTCTAACCACAGCCATCTCACTAATTGGAATGCTTGGCTTCCACTGTTTCTTTCCTGTTCCTGAGCACATAACTGAGTGTGTTTAGACAAGCCGCCAATTCGTTTGGAAAGGTTCACATTGAGACCCAACTAAAAGTGCACAGATTGGTGATTATCTAGACCGAAAAATTCTTATGATTTTATCCGAGTCTGTGGTTGATAGCATGCTGATTTTCAAATGAATACATAATTCTAATTAGGATTTACTTTCTAGGTCACGCTGTTTGCGTAATGCTGTTTTGGTGAAAATTCCTATGGTAGCAGACCTTCCATCCAGGATGGATCGTTTGAGCTCCAATCCGTCTTCTTCTCTACTCTCCCTTGAAACCCAAAGGATTGCATAAGTCAGCTAGTTGAACGAGAAACCCCCACAGACTGGGAATTTCGTCAGAAACTATGTAATTAGCTCGAAGTGCGCCAACGGTTGTGCTACAGTTTACATCATATGGTTTTTTTAACCTGCTTACTGACTTGAAGGCCAACCAGTTTAGTGAGCAATGTGCATTTGAGTGTTTCAGTTTCTGGTCATCACTATTAAATCAATCAGTCCACAGTAGCAGCCATCGAATGGGGACCCGAAGAGAGATACTTGCGGACACCGAGGACACCTAAGCAATAGCCAAATTCAACCTCGCTTGTCAAGGTCTTTTCCTACTAGCGTGAACAGAGCAACATATGTGGATTTGCCATGCTTGATGGTGCATCGTAACCGGTTGTGCCGATTCAAGTGACTTAGTTTTATCCAGTATTTTTTTGGTATTTTATTTGAAGCTCGACAGATGTATTTTTATCACGTTCTACCGTGATCTAGTCCAGAGGGATAGGTTTCAAATTATTGCTCAGCAGTTGTCTTTCTATCACAGCTATGTGGACACGACACCGCAAATCAGTTGTCTTGAATTCTTTATTTCGGCATGAACCCTGGATACGGTTCATGGTCTGTTGCAACAGACATATTGACCACCAAGTAAAATTCAGAAAAAAACACTTTACTCCATAAGTTCACCCTTTGGAGTTGAATAAATTACTAGGAAAATACACCATCTCAAGGGTATGGACCTTGCCGGATGACAGGCTGCTCCGGAACCTGAGGCTTTCTCTAAATTTTAAATCGTTCAGCTGTAGCACCCTTTCGGTGCCTAGATGCTATGCCACTCACGAATAAGGCACGATGGCTGGGATACTGCCAGGTCGCCCAAGCCTAGACAGGAGAAGTTGAGAGGCAGAAATCGGGTTCAAACCATGGACCTTCCGGTGAGTCAATTCGTGCTCTAACCACTTGGTCCATCTCGCCTCAGACCTAAGGATTACCAACCAGAAAATTACCATCTGAAATCTTCGCTGAGTTACTGAGGTTGTAATTACACAGTCACAAAGTTTTTCTCTACTTATTTATTATGGTAACTGTAAGGGGACGCTCACTCACTCCAACCGATCTCTCGTTCACCACAAACCTCAATTGTCAGCGAAATTTGTAGAGGATTCCGACAATGGTCAATCATTAATTGACCACGAGCATTTATAACCCGAACAAATTTGCATCACACTTATAAGTCAGTGCGAAGCACAAAAATACATGCACTAAATTTGAGTTGGTCATTCTAACAAACAATGATGAGCAGCTAACAATGAACGAGTGAACAGTGAGAAACTCCGTAAGTTGCATATTTTGGCACCCCGGAGTGATTTGGCAGAATACACCCAACTGGTATGACAAGCAATAAGCGCATTCAGCTTTCCATCAAAAGTCTACTCCCTCAAGACTAAGGCGTCCTGACGCGGCAAAGGTCTGCAGCTGAAAGCATGCACAACCGACAGTTAGAACATGTGCAAACATGATCGTGTCCTGTATATGAGTGAAATTTCTTCCAAAATAATGTCTTTGGCCACATTCTAGAAGGGCTTCCATACTCAGATTAAATCAATATATCATCATATCACCTGCCTGATTTTGTCGTAAGCCAGAATGTTTTGCATTCTGGCTTAATCTGGTAGTCTTCATCGTTCTTCAAGTAAAGAAAGAGAGTTCTTCCACTTTTAAACAAAGTTTAGCTGCCTTCTAGTTTGTTATCACCATAAGCTAGTGTTTCCCCAAAGGGCCTCATGAAAAGGCGGGAAAAGCAGATTTTCGGAATGAAATTTTGGTACTGAGATTCTCTCATTCAGCTGAGATCCAAACACACAACCTTCCCTTACGGGAGTGCAGACAAAATGAACCACGTTTGGACAAATACTCATCTATACAAAAAATAAGGAATCTGATAAAATAACAAAACAAAATCAAATCAAATCGGAGACTATTACTGAAAGTTGGAATTGGGAGATGGCGGAAGTTGAAAACTACCAGTAGAGATGGGCTATTTTGACTTCGGTCTTTGTCGATGCACTATTTGTATCAAAGTGCGGACAAATGGAAATTTCTGACTGTGGTTTTCACCACCATTCACCTTAGTGAAAATTGAACGAAGAGGCGGTATTGGATGGGTAATGGCGCGACCGAAGGGGACGACAGAGCTGTGCATCTGTGCGTGAAGTAATGCATCTTCTATACGACTAGTGGGCAAGTTGGGGTGGTATATCTCTTCCGCATTCACAGGGTTTGGCTGTTTCGAAACAGGGAAAAACACAGCATAACAGTAGTGAGATACATTGAATGGAATAAAGTGCATGCATTCGGAATCCAAAACATCACATGGGATTTTATTGTTCCAAATGGGGAACGATGTGAACAGTGAGGGGAGGGTTTTTTGACTGGACAAATCAAGAATGACTCGAGTATTTGTCCGGTCCTTATCACACCCATCATACTTCTGTGTACATTCTGATCATCTTCGAAGTGCTTTGTGTCGTTAGTATAGACATTCAAAGTTGAACCAACGATGTGAAACTAACCAAACATAAACAGATTATTTACAGCTAAATCTAACTGTAGGAACATATCAAAATTAGTTGGTCCCGATAAAAAGTTAAATGAGGAAGTCCCTGACCAAAGTAAATGGAAAAGTCTACTTGTGAGATATAAATACGGAAAGAAATATATGGAAACTCGGAGGTAGATTCTTGCAGAAATATGTGATCCATTTATTGTGGGTTGCCGATGAGCTGCACATGACCGGTTAGTATACACTTCCTACCAAAATAGAGAAACACCTTTTACATTCTGGACCGAGTTCGTGCATGCCATGTCCATCAGATCCCATTACGTTTTGTAATAGTAATCTATTTCTAGAGTCCTGCTGTAGAGCTAAAACCGAGCATTACTTCAGGCTTCGCTAGGGTGAATACTTGTTTCTTCAGTATGACGATAATATAACAAATTTCGCCACACAGAGAAAGAAAATCACGGCGAGAAACACGTTTAGTTTAAACTTTTTTGGCTAACATTTACTAAGGCAAACAAGATTATCGTTGAGCCCTCATTGTGGTGTAAACGGTAACCGGATGATCAGAAGGAACCCCCTAATCGCGCTAACAGAAGGAATAAAAGGAACAGCTACAAGATAGGAAAAAGTTGTCTGCAGGAATTGGTCGATGTCTCAGAAAGGGTCTTCATGACATTAGGCTCAGATCGCCAGGTAACCTTGGCCATACATTCGAAGATCCCATGTCCACAAAATGCCCTTAAAATATAAGTATCTTTGGTAGTAATGACGAGATATTTTAGACCATATGCTCATAGCGCGACAACTGATTTTCCTGACAAATTTAGTTGGTAAATAGTTTATGGTCGGAAGCGACAAAGACCATTCTGAGCGGATTTAGCCAGATGAATTAGAGTTGCTATTCTGGTTTGACCACCCGAAAACCTGGACTTGCATAGGAGCCCATCATTTGTATGTTGACGCGCCGGTCGTATCCTAATACTGAACATCTCACAGATTTGTTACATCAAAACCCTCGTAACTCCCCATCGCACTCCTGAGTTGTACCCTCACGGAAACAGGGGTACAATCCTCCATACAGATGCTTTGTGTCATACACTACAGAATCGACCTCCAAAAAGATCAATCTTCTGGAAAATCTTCACTCCTGAGGTTGGAATAGAAACCTGCAGCCCTCCCAAGATCCAGAATTCCAATTTCTTATTAATATCCATAACGAAACCTCCAGATACGCCCACCGTAAAAAGGACCTTTGCTCAAAGTTGTTTGCACTGTGATCTGTCACCGGAGAACCGGAACACTTTACCATACGATGTGAATAGTTCTTACTGTAATTGGGTGCAGTATTGTCATGCAATCAGTGAGTCGATTAGAATGTAAGTAAACCTTCGTGAATTCTGAATAAAAGTTGGTGGTGCACTTGACCGGAGCGCTGCCTGACTTTACAGTAAGGTTCGCAATAATTCCATCAATATTCCCGGATATATTTCAGCAAAAAAGACCACAATTGCCAGACCGAGGGCAGAAGAAACTTCTACCATTTCCCAAACACCATTAAAACTACCGGGTACCATTGATTTATCGCGGATTGGTTTGAAGAAAAAAGGTTGGACAGAATCGAATCTCCTTGCTTGTCATCCCATTTCAACGAGGCAGTGATCTCTGTTTTGCCGCAGTTTTCAAGCACTCATTTGGCAAGCAAAGTAACCGATATGAAATACGAGCCGTTCAAAAAAGAGGACCTGGCAATAATGAACTCCGCGTATTGTATCTATGACGAAAATTTTAGACGCTAAGGTTTTCGCGTGTTGTAGTATCAATCCTGACACCAGAGACTTCATTTGAAGCTAACGCCGGAGTGGTTTTCACTCAGTTCGATGCTATGAAAGTACTGTTGGGAAACCCATTTAAAACCTAAGGGTTTTTATGTCTTCAGCGAGTGCAACTTTATATCCGTGTAAGCGATCTGCGCTAAAAACGTTCTGTTGCAATTGTTTCTCTGAGAAATGTCCCGAGTATTATCGCCAGTTTGTTGCACCGGGATGAACAGGAGTTTGGAGGTTATGTGCACTCTCGCAACCCAAACAGTCTATTTTATTATCATAGGACCGTGTGGCACAGCCACGTGCTTCTGTCTACTCCGGTTATTGCGAATGTTCCCACTGCGCAGTTCATTGCCGCTGAGACAATCGGTCCAAAAAACTCGCAATTAGTCTGCAGCGAAAATCAGTGAGACATACAGACAACGGAGTACGGCAAAATATCCGGATGTGGGAAATGGAAGGATCGATACGTGAATTTTTTTCAATCTGAAAACATGAAGATGACCGATAAGTCAATGTCTGTAGAACCTGGAAAAATCCCCTGGATATGACAGATGACCTCAGGATACCTGGTATGAAACTAACTCAGCAAGTCCTTGATACAGAGGTCAACAATAAAGCCCTCTATCGGGCACCAATTCCAGTGGTCGTACGAATGTGCTGAGCAATTTGCGGTCGGTTTTTTGTGAATAAATGACGGCAGGTGAACTCACTTATGGAAGGTGGTATTTTAGCAGCGCAACAGATAAATTAATCTATTATAATCAGCATGCAATTTTACACCCGTCATACATACAGGCACAACACCGTACGGCGTTTATCCTGAGTACCGATTGGTCTGCACGACAAAGGCAAATCAATTTAAAGTGGAGTCAGTTGAGAACAAGCGGTCTAAGTGGAATTCGACCAACAAACAACCGAAAAGCAGGTTTGTAAACTGGTAACCCGAACTGCACCGGTTAAAAACAGGATCAAACCAGAACAAAACAGTACCAAAAGCGAAAAATGGAATAACGTTTAGACGATAAACGAGAAATTCGCAAACAGCGCTGTCCACAAACCGAGGTCATTAGTTCTCGCGCACATTTACCACATTCGACCCAGAATAGCTTGAGCAGTGAGCTTTAGACTATGATCTGGGTGGACACCCGTCGGTCCGCTGAGTGGTTCTCCGCTTGAAATGCACGCATTGCTTTGTGAGCACCATTCGATTGTTTCACTAGTCCAACTCCGCAACTCTGACAACCATCCGAATAGTGAGGTCAGATGGCTATAGATACGAGCCAAGGATGTACGAGTTCTGTGATACTGCGTCAAATACTCCTCATGTTCGCATTCTTGCTCAAATGCTGCGTAAATTACAATAGATTTCCAACATAAGACAACAGGCGAGGTGCAAAGGTTGTTGGCGGAAGAACCGAATGACACTGCTATATTGTCCCAACGCTCAACAATTAGCTTACTAACCTAACTCTTTCCAGCATATTAAGAGAATCTCATTCGCATTTGTTCACCAAGTTAACGAGTATTTGCCTTGAATCAACAAACATTCGACGTATTGCATTTCCAGTCCTGCAGCGATGGGGAATATTAAGACTGTACAAAATCCGGATAACTCAAGCAGCCACAAAAGTGAATAAATAATTACAGAACTGGTGTAACTAGATATGATTTGTTTGAAGAAAGGTAGACCAGAAAGAAAGGGTTGGTTCTCGTTGTTTCAGTCACCAGCCATCACTTGCTAGGACCACTGATTCCGAACTAACTTTCTTCATAACTAAGCAGTTATGTACCGCTTTAGATGGATAAGTCGGTCACCTCAAACACCAGTAGGCTAAATGATTCGTACTGGACTTCATTTTAACATCATCATAAGTGGTGAGCACTTTTGAAAATGCGCAGAAATACCAGATAAAAATTCGCGACGGTCACACAAGTTCGCGAAGTTCTTTGTTGTCCTTGGTGGTCATGCCAGTCAGAATAACGTGAAAAGCAACAAACCTCAGTAAACTCCACCGAACGTTACTGGTTCACAGATAAGGAGCTAGTCCGAGCTCATAATTGGTGGGAACAGAGATCCATCTGAGTCTCGTGTTTTCAACCTAAGATTTGGATCATTCCACAAGATGTGCAGTAAACTGACCGCACCCAGGTTTTACCGTCTAATGATCAATTTGAGGATTAGAAATCACAAATTCCGGGGACCAGACCCACCTGATGAATCACAAACAAAACTGACCTCTAAAGGTTTGTCTGCGAGTTTTGTGCACTCTTCCCAATAAACAACCATTCATTAAAAAACATGAAAACTGGCTGAAGCTGAAGATTCTGTGAAATTGCGTTTTTTCTAAACACACTGAAGGAAAGACAGCGAACCTCATGCGCCGCCTGTCTTGAGAAGCCAGTTAATTCTCAACTACTTTTTTACTAAGAACAAGGCAGTTTAGAAGGAATTAAGTGCCAACTCTATGGGTTGTTGGCCGAAACTGAACGTGAATAATACTGCGGACTTACAGGAACGGCAAGTTGAGATTCTAGTGAAAAGTCATACCATGGCTGATTTTTTAGTCAAACAACTGTTGAAAAAAAAACAACTCCTCTAAGAGATAAAAGGTTCTTCCATCAGAATTTCAAAGCCCCCTAAAATGGCGACGAATTATTTTACGAAGGACCACAATACTGTGCACACGTGTCAGTCTCGTTGATGCGGCAGACATCTTTAACCATCACCGTATGCAACCGTTGGTGTTATGAACTCACTGGATGCAAAGCATTGGTCAGCTGCATATTAGGCCATGATTAGCCGGAAAAACGTATTATAGTAAAACATCTGAAAATATACAACCTACTAGGCTGACCCATACCACACAGTCCCTAGAGTGAAGTAACAAGACAGCG